GTCAGAGAAGTTCCATGTCATGTCAGAAGTTCCATGTCATGTCATTGACGTTCCATGTCATGTCATAGAAGTTCCATGTCATGTCAGAAGTTCCATGTCATGTCACAGAAGTTCCATGTCATGTCAGAAGTTCCATGTCATGTCATAGCAATTGTATATACATAATAGTCTTCCAAATATTTTCATCCTTATAAAAAAAAATAAAAATAAATAAATCAAAAGAATTTAATTTATATAAATCTAATTAATTCAGATTAAAATTCAGATTTTTTAAAATATCTTTTTTCAAAATTAAAAAATATCATAAGCCATATAAGTATGTATGTACATGTATATATGTGTACATATATATAGATATGCCTACATATATTTACATATATACATGTATATATAAAAAAATATACATAAATATATATAAATACATATGCATATGCACATATATATAAACATAAGTATATGAATATATATATATATATATATATATATATATATATATATATATATATATATATATGTGCGTGCATGAATATATGTAACACATAAAACAGTAAGCAGAGAGTATGTGTATTATATACATTTTTTTTATATTTTTATGTATTTCAATATATTATTTTTTATTTTTCATGTGCACATAAATATATACATATCTCATAAGTACACAGACATTTATATGTATACATATGTATGTATATACATATGCATGAGCTTGTACATATTCATATATATATATATATATATATATATATATATATATATATATATATATACATATGTGTTTCTGTATATTCAATACATATACATATATATTTCTAGTAAATATATATATAAATACACATATAATGAATCCGTCTTTAAGTTTTATAAATAATTTGCAAAAGCTAACCAATTAGAAGAAAACATTTAAAAATATATATATATATAAATACACACATCTATAATAAACCATTTTTTTCATTAATTTCCTAAAAATATTCTGCAATTTGAGGAAATTAAAAAAAAAAAGTATTGCTCTTAATATCGTCCCCAAAAATCTTCTTCGACCCGCACGGAGTTTCAAAGACCAATCACTGTCTAGCTCTTAGAAATACATTATACATTATGTATATTTATATATATGTATAATATATATATATATATATATATATATATATATATATATATATATATATATATATATATGTTCATGTGTGTGTGTGTGTGTGTGTGTGTGTTCATGTGTGTGTGTGTGTGTTTGTGTTCATGTGTGTGTGTGTGTGTGTGTGTGTGTGTGTGTGTGTGTGTGTGTGTGTGTGTGTGTGTGTGTGTGGTGTGTTCGTGTGTGTGTTCATGTGTGTGTGTGTATGTGTGTGTGTGTGTGTGTGTGTGTGTGTGTGTGTGTGTGTGTGTGTGTGTGTGTGTGTGTTCATGTGTATGTGTGTGTGTGTGTGTGTGTGTGTGTGTGTGTGTGTGTGTGTGTGTGTGTGTGTGTGTATGTGTGTATGTGTGTATGTGTGTATGTGTGTGTGTGTGTGTGTTCATGTGTGTGTGTGTGTGTGTGTGTTCATGTGTTGTGTGTGTGTGAGTGTGTGTGTGTGTGTGTTCATGTGTGTATGTGTGTGTGTGTGTTCATGTGTGTGTGTGTGTGTGTGTTCATGTGTGTGTGTGTGTGTGTGTGTGTGTGTGTGTGTGTGTGTGTGTGTGTGTGTGTGTGTGTGTGTGTGTGTGTGTGTGTTCATATGTGTATGTGTGTGTGTGTGCATGTTCATGTGTGTGTGTGTGTGTGTGTGTTCATATGTGTGTGTGTGTGTGTGTTCATGTATGTGTGTGCCTTCATGTGTGTGTGTGTGCATTCATGTCTGTGTGTATTCATGTGTGTTCATGTGTATGTGTTCGTATGTGTGTGTGTGTGTGTGTGTGTGTGTGTGCGTTCATGTGTGTGTGTGTATTTATGCGTGTTCGTGTGTGTGTGTGTGTGTGTGTGCATGTATAATATATATCTATATATTAATAAGTATTCCTACATCGTATATTCATATACATTAAGCCGCTCTCTGTTGGTCTTTGCCGGAGTGCCACTGGGAAAATGGAGCCTCGTCTGCTATGGGAGGGGGGGAGGGGGGGAGGGGGAAATCCCACAGCAGGGGGAAATTATGTATATTAATAGTTTAATAATCTATATTATCTATATTATCTATATTATATTAAAACAGATGTTCTAAGGAATAAAAGTATTCTAAGAAATCACTTCCGTTTTTCTAAGTATTCTAAGAAATCATCAACCATTTTCTAAGTATTCTAAGGAATCACTTCTGTTTTCTAAGTATTCTAAGAAATCACTTCTGTTTTTCTAAGTATTCTAAGAAATCACTTCCGTTTTCTAAGTAATTCTAAGAAATCACTTCCGTTTTTCTAAGTATTCTAAGGAATCACTTCCGTTTTTCTAAGTATTCTAAGAAATCACTTCTGTTTTTCTAAGTATTCTAAGAAATCACTTCCGTTTTCTAAGTATTCTAAGAAATCATCACCCATTTTCTAAGTAATTTTAAGAAATCACTTCCGTTTTTCTAAGTAATTCTAAGAAATCACTTCCGTTTTTCTAAGTAATTCTAAGAAATCATTCTAAGAAATTTTTCTAAGGATTTACTTCCATTACTCAAAGCAAAGGAGGAGGAGGAGGAAGAGGGGGGAGGAAGAGGAGGAGGAGGAGGAGGAGGAGAAGGAGGAGGAGGAGGGGGGGGAGGAGGAGGAGGAGGAGGAGGGGAGGAGGAGGAGGAGGAAAAAAAGGAGAAAGGAGGAAGAAGAGGAGGAAGAGAAGAAGAAGAGGAGGAGGAGACGGTTTTGTTTGCTAAGAAATAAAAGACTTTTAAAGAATTTATTCTACTATTCCTTCCATTTTTCTAAGTAATTCTGAGGAAGAAATATATCCTAAGGAATTTTTCTGAGGAATTATCACTCCAAATGCGGAGGAGGAGGAGGAGGAGGAGAAGAAGGAAGAGGAGGAGGAGGAGGAAGAGGAGGAGGAGGAGGAGGAAGATGAGAAAGAGAAGAAGGAGGAGGAGGAGGAGGAGGAGGAGGAGGAGGAGGAGGAGGAGGAGGAGAAGGAAGAGGAGGAGGAGGAGGAGGAGGAGGTTTTGTTTGCCTTTGCCAGAGCACCGACAGGGGAGGCGGCCTGCTATAAAGCCTAAAACGAGACTTCGGTTCGTATTTTATCAGATCATTATTAATATGATTAATATTTTAAATATTAATCACTAAATATTAATATCAATCAAGCCCCAGAGCTCTTTTCCAAGCACTAAAAACGGCATTGAAATAATCTCATTTATAGAGTTATATATAAAATTATATGATTTAATTACTACATATTTTATAAGGATATGATTTATATTATAATAATACATAATCATAATTATAATATGTATATTATATATCATTATACTATTTTATATTATAATAATATATAATTAATTATAATTATAATATATATTTCATATATTATTATCATAATATTAATCATATATAATATAACATTAATGATATATATATATAATAATATATAAATCATATATGACTTATAACACCTCGATATATAACTGACAGTGATTAAATATAATTATAATTTGACTGGAATTAAATTTATACTTTTACGCTCAAAATGATCTTATTTTGAATTAATATAGACTATCAGTTTTTTTGTTTTTTGTTTTTTTTTTGTCTAACGATAATTGATGGGATTAATATATCATTAATAGATTAATATATTATAGGATAAGTAGCATATATTATAAAATATATTGATATAGAATATATATTAGAATAGAATATATTATAGAACAGAATATATATTAGAATAGAATATATTATAGAATATATTAATATAGAAAGGATTAATAGATTAATATATTATAGGATTAATGGAATATATTATAGACTATATTACTATAGAATATATTATAGAATAGAATATATTATAGAAGATATTATAGAATATTATATATTATATTATATTATATTATAATATATTATATATATTATATTATAAATATTATTAAAAATGAACCAAAATGAACTAAAATGAAACCAAAAAATAAACTGAAATGAACTAAAATCGACCAAAAATAACTAAAAATGAACCAAAAAACAACAAATAATGAACGAAAACGAACTAAATCCAACTAAAATGTATTAAAATTAACAAAAAAAAATGAACTAAAATGAACTAAATCTAACTAAAAACTAACTAAAAACGAACCAAAAATGAACCAAAAACGAATTAAACTCGACCAAAAACGAACTAAAATCGACCAAAATGAACCAAAAACTAATTAAAATCGACCAAAATGAACCTAAAACGAACTAAAATCGACCAAAATGAACCAAAAACGAACTAAAATCGACCAAAATGAACCAAAAACGAACTAAAATCGACCAAAATGAACCAAAAACGAACTAAAATCGACCAAAATGAACCAAAACCGAACAAAATGAACCAAAAACGAACTAAATGAACCAAAAACGAACTAAAATCGACCAAAATGAACCAAAAACGAACCAAAAACGAACCAAAATCGACCAAAAACGAACCCTTCGTTGAAGACGCGGTCGTTCGGCTCCTTTTGTTGACGTTCGCGTAAGAGTGAATCCGGATTCAAAGGGGAATCCGGATTCGACTGCCTCCTCCGTTCGTGGAAGGAAATCCGGATGCGTGCTATTATTTACTATTATCTACTATTATTTACTAATATTTACGTAATATTATTTATTATTATTTACCATTATTTACTATTATTTACGTAATATTATTTACTATTATTTACGTAATATTATTTACTATTATTTACGTAATATTATTTACTATCATTATTCACTACTATTTACGTGCTATTGTTTACTATTATTTGCTATTATTTACTATTATCTACTGTCATTTATTATTATTTACTGTTATTTACGTAATATTATTTACTATAATAGTAATATTATATAATATTATTAGTAATATTATGTAATATTATTTACTA